CCTACAAAGCCGGGACGGAGCACGCCGGATTCTCACCGGACCAGCGGGGGGGGGGCATCTGGGCCGTACGTTCACACGTACAAGAGCAAGGGCAAGGCGTTGGCGAAACACAAAGAGGATGAACGGGAACGATGGTTTTCGTAGAATCTTGGGGGAAGGTGAGGGGAAGGGAGAGGGCAAAAACAAAGAGAGACGGAGAGAGAAGAGAGAGAGAGAGAGAGAGAGAGAGAGAGAGAGAGAGAGATGCACAGAGGGGATGAAACAGTACACAAAAACAAAACAGAAAATACAACCAAGACCTCTGCTGTTAGTCACTTATAGAATCGTCATAGAACCTCGTGCAGGAGGGGCGACCAGGAACACCTTGCAAGGTAAGGGGACGAAACCCAACAGCGTAACAGGCCGTGTTTGTCGGTGCATGACCATGCAACACGCGAGGCGGATGATGGCCGTGCGGTAGGGATAGTTTTTCGCGAGTGCTACCCTCAGCTTGTAGTCGCCGGTCGCACCCTGTGGTTGGTGCACGCACCACCCGCGGTTCGGTGTAAAAAGTAACTGTTTCAACATGCCAAATCATGATGCGCGCTTGTGGGCGAGCCACCGACGGCAAAGGGCCTCCCTGCCCCCAATCAACAAGAGCAGGAGTGTAGATTCCAAGCAAGGTACGTGGTATACGGTCCCGTTTTTTGCGCGGAAAATACGGGACGGGATAAGGCCTACTGGTGCGCTTTGGTTTGGTGACATACGTTTGGTGTAACGTTCGACCCGGTCTTGCGTAGAACGCGCCCGGCATGGTGAGACAGCCATAAGCGGCACAACGGAGATCTCATTTATTTTTTCGTCCTATTTCTGTATTTCTATATAACGCTTACGATGGTGTCGGTGTCCAGGTGGACGACGCGGTGGTATTCCGTGAGCGTGTACGCGAAGAGCTTCATGAGCTCCGCCAGGCCGCAGCAGCCGCCCTTCGCAATCCTCCCCCTTGTCACCTGTTCTCTCGTTGGACGTTTCGTTTCGTTTCGGTCAAGGCACGGACAAGGGAGGGAGAGCCGTATTTGGTGAACGATGGATGGACGTCAAGAAGATGCTGCTTTCACAACCGTTTATCGTGACACGGGCTGACACACAATCACCCGGCCATACAAAGTAGCGAAACTCTCGTGACGAGTTCGCGTAAATCTTCTCGGAGAATTTGACTACGACTACGCATGTGGTAGGTTTCACTGCTCCTGAACTGCTCCGCCGTTGCCGGTTTTTAGGGCACGCGCTGGGGGAGAGAGAGAGAAACCGCCGACAGCGTGTAGCGTCGAGCCGCGCCAAGCTCCTCTGCTCACACTACATGTAGGACGTGTGAACCGATGCGTCATTGCAAAAACGTAGATAAAATAAAGACAGCACCAACCACTGCAAGACCCCGTGTGCCGACAATGTTGCTGCTATTCGGACGCCCCAGACGTGTACCTCCTCAGATCTCCACACAACTGAGCTTGGCTTCGGCGCCAACGGCGGTTATCCACGAAAGCTCCGACGCGGCAACAATGCTGCAAAATAGGGTTTTCATGTTCGGTCTCTTTTACATTGACTTTATCGACAACCGGGATATCTTCGGACAGCATTACCACGATACGGCTCACGAGCTGGAATAGCAAACATCAGAGCCCCAAGCCAAAACAATATCGAAAGTCTTGTACCCCCTTTCTTCACCCATTTCACTCCGAATCAACCCTCGAGGGACAACCTGCGCGTATGCGAGGCAGGTGAACACAAAAGAGCTAGAATAAACTTTCGTCGTCGCCAACGTTTCTCGGGAAAACCCTCGACATCATAGCGAGGCTGCATAGCAAACGACCATGCCGCGCGTCTCGCTCACCGGATCCTCGATCTCATCGAGACTCAGGGGAAGCCCGGGTCTCATCACCCGGAAGCCCAATCGCCGCAGAAGGTTCTCTGTCCCAAGCCCGATCTCGTCGTGCAAGAACGCCACCAGATCGCACAGGAACTCCGACGTCTCACAGGCCGCGTCTAGCCGGCGGGTATCCATCGCGAGCAACCCAGGCGGCCGAAGAGAGAGAGAGAGGGAGGAGTCGGTAGTTCTTGGAGTCAATTTTAGTGCGGAACACAAGTACCGCTGTATGCAAAGAACATTCTACATACTGTAGTGGCGTCCGTGTTGCTGCCAGCGAGAGAGGCGGTCGGAGGTAGAGAGAAGCGAAGCGAATTGTTTAAGATTTTTTCACGCCCTAACAGTATGGAAAACAAATGTGCATTAGAAACAATACAAACAATCTATTGGCGTGCGTGTTACCGTCAGTGGGAGAGAGAGGTGGTCCCTTGAAAAACAAAAAACCCCCGTCGATTTACATCTTGCGTAGTCGATATGGTGCATGAACTGAGCAGCATTTTCTGATAGAAGTCTGCGTGGTCAGGAAGGCGTAGAAAACAGGGGGATGTGGAAAGATGGGACAGCCGCGGTCGGCGAGGTTCTGCAAGTGTATATATATCAAATCGTGCACGAACACAGGCCGAAACGGAAAGTAAGCGGGAAAACGCTGCGTTTATCTTCTGTTGGATTCGCCGTTGGCTTCGCCGTTGAGACATCTCGGAAGTCCGCCCGTTGATGCCCCAAGAGAAACAAAGGCAACGGAGCATGACGATTCAACAATCATCGCAGGTTGCCTCACGGGAGAGCACAAAGCAGGAAGGGGCAGCCAGAAAGAGCCAGTCGACTTCCTTGCCGGCAGGCAAAAGGGTTCAAGCCGCCACGGCGCGGTCACGAACCGACCGCTGCTGAGCTGGCAACCGTTGTGGGCGGGGCTTCGCGCGCGCCAAGAGGGGTTGTGGATGCACATTCGAAGTGCACAACAAGCGATCGCCTACGGGACAACACCAGCAACATCAACAACATCAACAAAGGGGGGCAATGATTACGACGACCAGGAGGACGACGAAGGCGATCACGACAACGACGATGACGGCGGCGGCGGCGACGGCGACGGCGACTACAACGACAAACAGGGCGGCACGCTCACCGATGGAAGCGGCAAGGACGGCAGCGCCGTCCAGGTGGTTCCCCTCCCTGGTAAGGGATATCGCAAACGCCACCGCCTTACGCCCCCCGCACACACCCCCCAACAGCTGGTCCGACTGGAGGTACGCGCTCGCGATGTGTCGGAGGGCCCCGGTGCCGCCACCCCCGTGCCGCGCTCGTTCTTCCTGTCGCCGTTGGGGTTAGGCGCCGTCGGTGGGGGGTTTAGAAGCTCGAGACAGACAGCGCGCGATAGACAACGGTATGACGACGGGGTGGTGATGAGGGGTTGGTGGACCATAGAACGGTGGGTGAGAGAGATACCAACAGCGCCAATTGTTGTCTGCTGTCGTTTTCGAGCAGTGCATGAATCGAACGCGGGCCTTTTTTGTACTGGTCCTGTTGTACTGGTCCTGTTGCAGAAGAACCTGTTCGTGAGATTGCGGGCGCCGGCGGCGGGTCAAGGTACTGCAGCTGCTGCGCATCCACCACTACAGGTAGTACGCACCCATGCCGTCATAACACCATCTTCGGGACGGTGGCGCGCTGAACCCGCACCACAAGAGCGAGAAGCAGCGCTTCGCCGCAGCCACTGACCTGAGGCCCGAAGCAGCCCCCGCGCGAAGCGGAAGCGATCGCGCCGCCCCTCCGGCTCCACGCCCGCCAGCCCATCGACGCGTACGCGAGGATGGCCAGCGGCAGGCCGCAGAACAGTATGCACGCCCGCGCGACCGTTCTGAAACTGCTGCCGCTGTTGCTGTTGCTGCTGCTGCTGCTGCTGCTGCCGTCGCCACCGCCGCCAGCACTCCGGTGCGACGACTTTGGTCGCCGCATGCCGGTGCTCCTGTGGACCGTGAACTGCGCCGTGATTCTTGCCGCGCCGAATACCCCGGCAGGGTAGAATACGTCTTGCTTTCTTCTCTCCTGCGAACCCAACGTTTTAGCGGGGCGCCTGCTGATTCACAGAGCGTCTGGGATAGCTGGATGCGAGACCGATCCCCGACACAGAAAAGCAATACGAGAAAATGAAAACGTGCTGCTGCCCTCGACGCCTGTAGCAATCCGGGAACCAGCGGTGTGCCGGCCCGCTGGCTGTTCCCACCGTAGCGGCGGCGGACACGGGTCAACGCCTTGTCGAAAGGTCTACCGCCGTTTGCGGCGTGTGGTCCTGGGCTGTGTCACTCGCGCCCGTCTGCATGTGCACCGACTTTTCTCCCAGAAGCGGAGGCAGCCCCAGCCAAGCGACTGGTACAAGCAGAAGGGCGCCCGAGCTCGCTCCTGCACGTATTCTGGCCTTGTAGCTGAGAGGACAGAAGGTTGATGCCCTCAGCAAATCACGTTACCAACAACTTCTGCGCCTCCCGTGGCCAACAGAGTTCTTGTAGAGTTGACCCTTGCCGTTTCAGCCCAGAGACGGCCCCTACGTCCGCCTGCCTGCAAGAGTTTCGGAGGGAGAGCGAGGGCTCGTCGAAGGTGTGGCCGGTGGGCGCGACAAGCAAGAAGTCAGATCGATGATGGATGTACCTGATGTGCACAAGCGCACAGCAGTTCGGCACTGTCCAAATCAACCAATCGAAACGAAGAGGAATTATTTTGGTTCCCCCGCCTTTGTGGCAATATTGACGGCTACACTGTCTTGTTGAGCCTATTACCCACAGGGGAGATATCGCTGTGTGCTGCTCGGGAAACCGTGGAAATACAGGTAGTTTCCTCTGACGCTATGACTTCATTGCTAATCTATCTTAGACTCTTTTTCCTAGATAGAGATGGATTCGTTGGGTCATATTTAGACAAAAAAAAAAATAGATACGGTGTGTCTAAATCCCCCCCCGTCTGTATCTCCGCCCAAACAGCACCTATCGAGCCGGGACATGCACAGCTGTGTTGCTGTGAGGTAGGGCTATCACGACATACTTCGTACAGCGGAAACGGTGCAGGTTTGGTGCAGCCATGGCTGATGGGCAAAATATATCTGTTGTCCCAACCTGCCCCCCGGGGGGGGATTAGTGTCTAAATCCCCCCCCCGTCTGTATCTCCGCCCACGAGGCACCAATCGAGCCAAGACACGCACGGCTGTGTTGCTCTGAGGTAGGTCTATCACGACATACCTCGTACAGCGGAAACGGTGCAGGTTTGGTGCAGCCATGGCTGATGGGCAAAATATATCTGTTGTCCCAACCTGCCCCCCGGGGGGGGATTAGTGTCTAAATCCCCCCCCGTCTGTATCTCCGCCGGAAATGTGGACGAAGACGGACAACCGCTTCCTCTACACGACGACGACTTTGACCAGATACGCAATTTGCGCCTCAAGCTCAACATTCTCCAGGTCGCACCACCTGATACCGATCTGGAGAGAGACTCGTTAGCTGACGGAACCTGCAGAGGACAACACCATGTGGGCTCGTACATCGCTGCCAGCTTTCTTCTTGGAATTGATCGCCGGCTTCCCTATCGAACTGGTCGCGGCCGTTCGATACAAGTATTCGGCGAACAATCCTAGCCACCTCGTCGCATTCGGGCCTCACAACTTCCATTTGTGTTCCTGTTTACAGCTTTTGCGGCGCGGACTGCCTTGCAGGCACTACTTCGCGGTTCTTGTCAACCTCATCGGGAGAACTGGCGGGGAGGACGAGTTGAGCTTTACGCATGCCTTCGACGGTGCGTGTGTCCACAACCGTTGGCGTCAATCAGACGACGGAAAGGTTTTGCCATGGAGCGTCTCAGCCGTGCTGTCGTCGTCAGGCCACGGCGAAGGATGGGACGGGCATCACCAAGGAAGCGATGACCACTGCTGGGGACCGACATGCGATGAATCGTTCGATGGCGCACACCCCGCTGAACGCGCGGTGCGGGCCGCGCAGGATAGAAGCGCTGCCGACAAACGTCGCGTCTACGCCCATCTCATGGCGAAGAACAAGGAGAACGTAGGAGACATTATGAGGTCCGTACCCCTTCACCAAGCACTGTCTGTCCAGGTCAAGATTGACGATTTCCTCGGGTATCTTCTGAAGGAGGCCGCGGGAGGCACAGGAGGACCCCAAAATCCTGGGCAAGCACCCAAGAAAGGGAGACCTAAGAAGGACGGCAAAGAGGGAGCTGGCAACCCTGCGGGCCAGAGAGGAAAATCCCGTCAGACTAGGAGAATGAAGGACTTCAGCGACGTGCCACGGACGAACAAGAGGAGAAAGCTGAAAGGTGCTGATACCAGCACCTAACCAGCTGCCCTTGCGTGTGTACCTTAGTCTGACTTTCACGTCGCATTGACGACCGGGAGGCAACACGTTGGTGGCGGCGAACATACGTTCATCACCTATGTCTCAACATGTTTGGGATTGTTTTCGATCGTTTGCGAGTATTTGCGTTGTCGTTGTTTTTTCTTCGTTGTTTTTTTTTGGAGAGCGACACCAAACGAATGAGTCATCAATCCCTGATGTGAGGAACGTTACATTTGGGCACGGTACAATGTATAGACATAGCGATCACAGCAGGGGTGCAGTGCTGCTGCGTGCTGTGTGTTGTGCGTTCATCATCTTTTACAGTTCTACCTCGGGTCTTGTGCGGCCATCAGAGCCTTGTACAGAGGTGCGAGGTTCATGGTGGGGTATTAGACATACCCCCCCCCCTCCCCCTGCAGGAGCACATCCGTAGTTTACCCCACCGGCGGTGTTACCACCTGAACGGAACCCTTCGGGCTACGTCGTTTGGGCTAACGATGGGTCATACGGTGGACGGTAGCCCTACATCGAAGAAACACAGTTGACATGTCCTGTGTCGACTGAAGTCTTGTGTGACGACATACCGCTGGGGGGGGTAAACAAGGCTATAATGTACCCCACCAGTGAGACGGCGGTGTTCGCATCCCACTGGGTGTGTGCAAAACTGTGGGCAGGAATACTTGATGTGATGGTCGCCTCACCTGCTGCCCGCTGCTGTGCGCTGTACGTGCATGTTTTCACACACTTCTACCGGTGTTCGTCAGTCGATTGGTGCCCTGGGGGCGGAGAAACAGACGGGGGGGGATTTAGACACTAATCCCCCCCCGGCGGACAGGTTGGGACAACAGATATGTTTTGCCCATCAGCCATATGGCTGCACCAAACCTGCACCGTTTCCGCTGTGCGAGGAATCTCGCGATAGCCCTACATCACAGCAACACAGCCGTGCGTGACCTGGCTCGATTGGTGCCTCGTGGGCGGAGATACAGACGGGGGGGGATTTAGACACTAATCCCCCCCCGGGGGGCAGGTTGGGACAACAGATATATTCTGCCCATCAGCCATGGCTGCACCAAACCTGCACCGTTTCCGCTGTACGAGGTATCTCGTGATAGCCCTACCTCACAGCAACACAGCTGTGCGTGTCCTGGCTCGATTGGTGCCTCGTGGGCGGAGATACAGACGGGGGGGGATTTACGATAATCCCCCCCCGGGGGGGGATTTAGACACACCGAAATATATATTGTGCCATGTGCCATGTACAGGCGGCGGTCGAGCAGTACCTGCTCGAGAGCGGCAGAAGTAGCAGAATGTTCGTGGGCGGAAGAAATAATAGGGGGACGGGGGGCTGAGCAGCGAATGGGCAGAAGCGATCTTTCTGGACGATTATCATAAGCAATCGCTAGTTCACCATTCGTCGTAGCAGCTGCAGTAGAAGATCTTGAGTCACAGTAGTTTGGGGTACGCTGGTCAAGCAGTACAGGATGTACGCTACATCAGTAGTAGATCCACCAATCGGTACACCGGCGGGTAGGGCAGGTAGTTGGCTCGGGAGCATGCATTTGTGGTTTGTTGAGAACGGCAAGGCAGGCAAGGTGAGAGACGAGCTGTGGACATTGAGCGCGAGTCCACCGCGCGAACGAAGATGGAGTTTAGTTTGTATGCGAAACGGCCGTCGTGCACGCAAGGGTTGTTCGGGAGTACTCTCGATGTATGGGCGCCTGTACAACACAAACCGCGTAAGAGCCGTAGCGGACCCAACGCATTCGGCGGAATTTTCGCCTGGCATTCCTGTTTTCCATTGCCGCAAGTTGGGCTTGCCAACGTGCCTTTATCCCCTCCTCTCAAGCACTGTGTTCACCAACGCGTAGCAAGCGTTGTCGTTGTTCATGTCCGCCACGTGGTGCACGTCACAAATAAATGGGCTTGAATATCTCGTATCACCCATCCCGTTTATACGTTTTTACTCAGTACCGAGCACTCTATTATACGTACCGACGTGTTGCATCACAGCCACTCACGCTCACGTTACGTACAGGCCGAATCACAAAAACGTGTACACCCCCAAAACAAGCTGCCAACTTCTCTTTTTGGCCACGCGCCCCCTCCACGTCCCCTCCAAGATACCTCTTCTTCTCACACACGGACACGCGCAGAAGAAAAACAAAAAGACAGAAACGTGTACAACCTGGAGCGGAAATCTGGTTTGCAGATCCTTCTGTCATATGCAAAAGTAGGGTGTACTTGAGCACCCATGTTGCGCACGGCGCTCCGACTTGCCATTGTACTCTCAAATACGCACACTTCAGTACAAAATAGGCGCTTACGACCACATTGCCACTGGGCACCACACTTCGAACGAGGGAGGAGCCAAAAAACACGCGCGCAAAATACATACAAAACAACCCCGTTAGACTACTGTAGGTCTTCCACGACGACCAATGGAGGCCTGGAAAGGGAGAGACAGAGAGACAAGAGAGCCACCCCGGAAAGGCCCGGATTCTTTGCGCCACCCATTGCAAGGCGTCACCTATGCTTCGCCGTCCAATATCTTCGGTAGGCACGCGACACCCAGCTGCGGAGACAAAAAAAAAGCCCCCCCGCCCCCCAACCCCGAATCATCGCAGAAAAAAGGAAGCCCCGGGGTTGATCCTAAGAACGGTTCTTTCGCATCCACTGCTGCGCCATCTCCTCCCGCTGCATCTCCTTCGTGCGCACCGCCTTGTTGCGCTGGAAGACTGTCGAGTAACCGCCCTTCGCGTTTGGATGAATCACCTCCACGTCACCGCTACTGCTGCTGCTTTTGTTGCATGGTCAAGGACCAAGAGAAAAGCAATTGTTGCAAGCAGGACGGAGTACAACGGTATCAGCATGAAATACGACATGCGCCATTGGCGTGCCCGGTGGGTGGTCAAAAATGTACGGCATCGCGACCCCCTGCTCCGATAATCAGAAAGGGACGGAGAGGCGAGGCCCAGGAATGGGCAACAAAGCAGGAAGCACATGGACAAGACTAGAACAGGCAGAAGAGATGGGTACCACACGGACACCGTGCCCGTTCACACCGGAGGCCCTTCGGCACGTGGTTCGTCGTGCTCAACACTCTGGCTCATCAAGCGGGTGGCATGTGGGTGTTCCGCGGCAACAAGGTCAAACGCACGGCCGTTCAATTTAACCAGGCCGTTTGGTTGTTTTATCGCGCTACATAGTCGCGTGACAACCAAGAAGCCTTGAGAGTGTATGATTTCTTGCGGCACCGACGGGACGAACAAAAAAACGAAACGAAATAAAACCCACGCGTGGCTTGTGAAGACAGCCAACCGCCTACGGCGGGGCTGCAGGAAGAGGGTGTCGTCCATTGGAGATATGGCGGGTCTGGCACTCCGCGTGGGCGGGAACAGCTCGAAACCAAGAGCAAGCCAACAAGAGCGAGTGATCGTCCTCGGGAAACTAGTGTAACATCCACAACGGATAATAGGAGGTGCTGAGCGGAGACCGGCACGGACTTTTAATGTGGAGACAACAACAACAACAACAACAACCCACAAAGAGCGCGACCATTGGGCATGGACGACGCACCTGGCGTCGCCGGCTCCCCCCTCTCTCTGCACGAGCATGACCGCGTCGCCCCCCTCGATCACGACCACCTCTCTGCCCTTCAGCTGCTCGCGGTCCCTCACCACCCCGATCGGAGCGAGTAGTTCTTGGTCGTACTCCACCACCATGCCTATGTAGACGATCGTGAATGCCGGGTCAGCCGTACATGGGACCAGCAGGAGAGTTCGGGTATTGCATAGTACTCGAAAAGGCCAACGGAATGCGAGGCTTCAATAGCCAAACTTTGGAAGACGTCTACAAAGCAGCATGAGAATAGTCGAGCCAAACCGACACACGAATATCACCTTACCACCCCCACAACCACCACCAACACCAACACCAATGCCGTTGCTCTCACTCACCGTCGTGGACGCCCAGAACCCTCCCGTCCCGCATGTGCCACCAGCACTGGACGTCCTCGGAATGTGATGCTACCGCAGTCCCCCCCGCGTCCGACTCCAGCTGCGTGTGGTCCAGGTAGCAGCCGTCCTCCTCCTCCGGGAGGTAGGCGGAGAACCAGGACAAGTGGTCGTAATCCTCGTGACCGTGCGCTATCACGGGGTGGGTCGGGTCCTGGGAAAAAAAATACGTTTTCGGGCGGGGGGGGGGGG